CCAATCAGCCTTGTCGCGTAAGCTTTTGCTTTGTTATTCTGGCAAAGCTTGCCACCATTGGTGTTCCCTGGGCTGTGCAGTGAGTGATGAGCATAAGATTGCTAGTAAAAGCGGCTTTCAAACGAAGATGTGTAACTCCTACTAAAACCCAGCTAACCTTCCTAATAGACCAACAACCTAAGCGCGCCCTGCACATTACAAGTGAATACCCATGAACATTTTCAACATGACCCGTTAAGTAAGCCATTAATGGAAGGAGTATGTGATTTGTAAGAAGCTGAGAGTCGTGAAAATTGTAAATCAGTAATGATCACGATTTTTCTTTGCTGTTAATTAAGAACGAATGATTCTGGACTTTTTTGAAGATCTCCTGTGCACAAATTTATAGCAGTTCTTTTTCTGCAGGTTTTGTTTTTCAACAAATCGAATTACCGTACCCTATGATTTCAGGTAAAATACTACTACGATCGCTATAACTGCCGATACTTGGCGCCTTTCCTTCTTTTGCTGGTCTATTCGATTTTAGGCGCATGGCTGTTTTATTTATTGGAGCACGAGAACGAAAAAAAGATAAAGACGTCAGTATTTATTAATGAAATAGGGAATTTTTAAAATCCTACATCTAATCTTCTCATGTTCACAACTACTGGGTGGATATTCGCTTCCACGTATCCCTTATCCACGAAGTTTTCCGAACTTTTTGTACACGGGCTTGGCTGCTTGACGATTTTCTGCTTCTTCGTGCTCACCACTAGGGTGTACCCACTTGGATTGAAAGGAGTGCGTCAGTTCCCATACAAGTGTTCCACCAATTTCCTATCGCTGGACTGAGGGAAAGGGAAAGCTGTTAATTAAGAACTGAAAGCCTTATAATTAAGATTTTAGACTCATTGTTCTCAATGTTTTACTATCAAGCCTTATTTGTTTGATTTCAAGTGTTCCATGGGTTTGAAACGTGTGTCGGCCAATAAGATTTCTCTGGTTTCAGATTTTTTGCTGCTTTGAAGAGTATTATTTAGCGCTTGCAAAGGATAGTCGAAAAAATGTTGTTTAACTACTTTTCTTCCTAGTGTTTCATCAGCTTATCACTCTTCATTCGAGTTACATCGGTGGTTCATCTATTATTATGTCACCTTAGTATTCGCCAAACAGTTGGCGCCAAGAACTACTACGCTCCATTCGCCCCAAATGAGCGTTAAAGCTTACCCTACACAATGTATTTCTCGTATGAGGGCATTTGTTCTTGTGTTTAGGACCGATCGACTCTGAACGTTTTATCGTGCATTTTTGTCATTGAAGGAAAGGTATTCGGGTTATTAGCTGATTTTTAGCTTTAGCAAGTGCAAAGATCTAACTTCCTCTCAACACAGGTGGTTTTCCTACGAGAAGGATTTTTTTAAATAGCTCCATGTATCTTACAGAATTCCGAGATTATGTTTGTGGCTTTCTCACAGATACGTTGTAGTGCTTTGTTCCACGTTGTTCCCATTTCTTGGAGGATGAGAGGAGCAGCACATCATCGAGACCATAGACCTCACATCTGGAAGATTTACCGTTGAATAACTAACTTTTTTATCAGATATGTATATATGTACATATGTATGTGTATATAAAGTAGTCGTAGCTTTTTTTTAAGTATTTAAATTTACCAAAAAATTTCAGCGAAGAGGCATTTCGTCTAGAGAGATTGCGAAACAAAGCCGTCCAAAGAATCGTTGGTAATTTTCAAACCAACCAAATGTATTTACGGATTACCGGAACCAGGCAAGAGTTTCCAAGTCTATCCTCCTCACAATTTAAGAAGTTTTGAAAAAAAGAGCAATTTCAACACATTTTTTCTTAAGGAATCTTCTGTTGTGGTACGAAAACGAATTACACAGAGTAAAACTACCAGAAGCATTAGAATGGGACATGTGGGGAGCAATATTTTACGTGGGAACGATTTTAACAACAATCGATGAGTCTTACATGATACTATTTTACTGATGCTTCTTTACTCATACTGTGGCATTCTGCTTATTTCTTATAACCATCAAGAGATTTACCATGGGAATCTATACCAATATTTTTAGGATACGGTAACATCTTTCCACGTACAATCGCTGGAAGAGCGTTGTCAGTGGCATACGCGACTATCGGTATTGTTAAGACTCTTTTCGGTGCATAGAACATTTCCGAGCACGCATGAGTCGCAATGAGTCATGCTGTGCACAATTCCTTAATGGCGAGAAGATTTTTCATTAGTCTATCGCTAACAATCAGCTGTATTCCTAAAGATTGAAAAGTGACTGTAGAGGTAGAGGACCATTGTGCTCATGAAGACTATAGTTTATCTGAAACTAGATGGACCTTGAAAAGCTACAGTGAAATGCAAAACGAAGTTTTCATAAGATTCTTCTTTCGCAACGTCTTGCTAATTTTTTTGGTACACGTTTAATCTAACTACGTTGGTGTTTCTGTTGAATAAACAGGAATTTTAAGGTATTCCACTAGTTCTGTCAGTTTTGGCAAAATTAGGGCGCTTCCTGGAGCATACGATTGCTCGAGCCTGGATAACACATCGGGAACATATTAAGAAAGCGCATAGAGAGACCCGAAAACGGCTTCAACGTCCTATAAAGCAAGAGTTAGTTGGGTTTTCTCGTTTATTAATTCATTTATCAAATTTTAATACTTTCAAAGGCAATCCGTTCTAGATCTTTACTTTCTTGTTGAGCAACGAGGATGTAGAGAATTATTTGATCAATGTCGAGGTTAAAAGAAAGTTGGTCGTGGGAATTCCTAGAACTCATTGTTTACTGCGTTCCTTCAGTGTTTGTTGTTCAAATGCATGTTATCTCTACTAGGAGTGAATTATAATTTATAGAAACTTGAAAAAACAAAGAAAATTTGCAATAATAGAACAAATTTGTGAATACGGCTGTGTTCTCTTTAGAAATACTATTGTTTTCGTAGAGCACTCGGCTCCAGCAACGACTTGTCGCCCAAGCTCGAAGAGGCCAAATTGATATGCACTGTAAAGCAGGGATTTCTCGAAGGTAAATCGTCGGTCGGATCAAGGTAAGTGGAATTATTACGTAAGGAAAAAGTGCTCCTGGAATTCGCCCTCTATCTATGCTCTACTCAGTTATCGTTAAGCAATTTTCAGTGTGTCGTAGATCTAGGACACTGGTTAGACATCCCTTGCAATGAAAATCTGCTGGTTCGATGCAGGCCTTCTACTAACTAAACCTCCCAAACTATAAAGGCAACAAAATTAAACCAGATTTCCCCAAAAGACAAAAAATAGAGTACATAAGTACAATCCAGAAAATCATCATATAGAACAAATGTGCACTCAACCACTTTTACGTTGCTTAATGCAGTCGATAGTTTATGCCACATCATTAAGGGATTGATGAATGCCTCACACTTTATCTTTCATCATTTTCTTTCCAGTGTAATGTTTTCTTTCCGAAAGCTTGACACGATCTCATTATAATCTACTTCCTTTTCACTTACCTTACTTCATAGCAGAGTGTAATGTGATATATAACCACAATGATGCTGAGATATTTGCAAAACTCGGAACCACAGGTGTTTGCGGTGGGGATGGAACATGCTAATACGCTTTCCGGAGACTAACGCGTTCACCACCACACCATATAGGTCTTCGTTTCGCCTTTCTCCATCAACCATATTTAATAGAAATTATGATGTGGTAGTTAACGTGTTAACCCCAAAAGGGTTAAAAGCGTGTTTAATCGTTACCGCAGACACTGCTGTCCGTAGTTTTGCAAATATCTCAGCACTATTATGGTCATATCTTATTATGTTTTCCACTTAATGGTCTAAGAAAACACACGGACGTTCATTTTTTAACTTTTTTTTTTCTAATTGGCAGAGTCGGAAAGTCAAACACCGTGCGAATCACAGAACTTCTATAATTCGACGCGTTTGTTTCCATTCGCGAAAGTTTTCGGATTTACGTGTGGCTTCAGCTGCTGCTTGAAGATTTTTGGTCTTACTTTCGAAAGTCAGTTAATACCGTCTAAGTGGATTATTCCTGAGATCCTGGCATAGTAATGCCGAAAGGATAGACTCTGCTATAAATCGCAAGAAGTCTCTTTATCAGATCTGATGTCATTTCTCGACCTTGAGGGACTAGAGGCTCTAGTGCTTTGAGGCAGAATTAAACGTTAGACTTACACGTGCTTAGCACCGCTATCACTGCCTTAACTGAATCTACTTATTTGTGCTTGTTTACAGACCGGAAATGACTTAGTTTAGATATTCGTGGGCTACCATTATGCTCAACATGACTATGATGTAACGAATCGCCTGTTCTTATCATCTCATTTATCGTCTTTCTTCATTGCTTCAGAGTTTCTCCCTTTTATTGCTGTTGTTTTCAGTGGACGATGTCCGTTTTCTGTTTTTTACCACTCAGCCAATAATAACAATCAATTCCGCTGCTATTTTCATGTATCGTTTATACCTGGCTATTACAAAATTTAGGAAGCGTCGAAGAATTTTTGGGGAGCTCGAAAAATTTTTGGCAGTGTTGCTAAGCAAGAAAGTCAATATTTTTTATTAAGAAAATCAATATTTTCCATAACTTTGTGTTTTCACTGTAACCGCCACATAAAAAGCGTTCAAAGGGTTAAAGCCATAGAGGACGAGAAAAGTATAATAACTGATTTGCTTTTTGAGCCTCTTATACGACAATTCACTGGTATTTCATCAACAGAATAATCTGATGCTATGGTAACGAAAAATTGAAGAGTTGTCGATCTCATTAGTCATTTCTTCTGAATTTCTTGGTTGAGGAAGATATGTTGCGGTTTTCACGGATGGTAGTTTCCTTCTGTCTCACTGAATTGTTATTGTGAAGACTGAAACAAAACACCGAAGCTCAACCCTAGGGATGCGCCATTCAATGCATCGTTAAGGTGGTTGAATACATATTTAACCTATAAAGTTACTTTTGCTGTGAGCTGTTAACCTATATATCAATGTTTTCATCCTGCTAGAGAAGTGCGAAAAGTGTGCTGCCAAATTTTCGAACCTGAAGTGATGGAGAGCTAGGTTTGCCCGATGTGTAAATCAATAAATCAATCAAACCGATCAAACTAAAAAACAATTTCACACTGCTCCTTTAACCGATCGCTACACGATATGATGAACGTTTTTCGGAAACAACTAAATAGAAGCTGATGGGAGCTAAGCAAAAGCTGATGATGTGCCACAGAAAGGACATATGATAGAGAGTTTCAGCTAATCTTAAAAATAAAGTTATACAACCACCACCACCTTTCTTTTACACCTTCTCCCCAATAGCACCCAAGATTCCAAACAAATTCCAGTGATAAAGGAGTAGATGATACATCGGCACAATTAATAATCTTAATTAAGAGGCTTAAACTGTAAAAAACCTATGGTGTATTTAGTGGAAAAAAATACATGAACGAAGGAAATAGGAAATAAACGTGTTTAGAACGATTCCGGTATGGTTAGCGTTGCTAATCTGTTTAAGCTGGATTTGTATTTGCGCAGCTCTTTTTCTGATCTGGGAGAGAAGGTGGACATTTTTCACTAGTCTCTACTTTTTCTTCATCTCACTCTCTACTATCGGTCTCGGTATGTTTTGAATCAGTCAAGACTTAAATCGATTATTCAATCAACCATTTTAAAAATTCTCATTTTATATTTAATAAGCTTAAAACCTCCAGGAGGAAAACAAAGCGTAATCTTAAATTGCAGTAGGATCGCCCATGTTCTTCTAGTTAAGCAGCACCATCTCACAAGTGAAGAGAAAGCACTTCGCTTAGCCGTAGTCTTGTCCGTTACCTATTCGATGTGGCTTATAGAGCTCTAATTTGATGTCTATCTTCCTAATTTATCAGACTAGATTTTATCCGGATGTTTACATGGAATCATTCTATAGGTGACGTTGTGCCAGATCATCCCCACATGCTGATCTTGATGTTTTGGTTGGTCATCGCGGGCCTATCTATTGTCTCTATGCTACTTACGGTAATACAGATAAAAGTCGAGGAATGCTTGTACAATGTGGTGAAAAGAATACAGGTCAGTTGTGTTATTCAACAAATTTTTTTCTCGTATATAATGCTGAGATATTTGCAAAACTCCGAACCGCAGGTGTATGCGGTGGGGAACGAACGCGCTATTGTCCTTTACCGGAGAGTAGCGCACTTCACCACCACACCAGCCGGGTCCTTCGTTTTGCCTGCCTCTCAGCTAGTTCTATCGATCTTTTGCCATCGATCTTTTTCTATTATCAAAAAAAGCATTTCGCATGAGAAATTTTAAACCTTTCATGACATGCTGTGAGCAGGGCCACTTAAACCAATCGTTTGGAAAATATCTTTGAGTTACCGAATGCCATAATAATGTATTACATCTTTGTTAAATCAGTGGCTATAGAGTGCATGCTGAAAGTGTGCGAAACCGCAAAATCAGACGGCATTCTGTGTTTCTCCACATCACAGTAGTACTGGAAACATTTGTGTATGACAACTAACCACCAGAATGTTAAACAAAGGACCAAAGTGAAGGCCGTCGCCAGAAATGCGGCCGCAAGGCATTGTTTCTTTCATTTCCGGATACGATTTTTTTATTTCTACTTTCTCCTTGCTTATAACTGAGTCTTTAATTATTGAGCCAATAAAATTCTTCGCGTCGAAAAAGGCTCAAATACACAAAATGGAAAACACAAAACACATCAAAATAGAAACGATCTGATTAAGAAGGAGTGGAACTAATGGAATCTTCTTATTTTTATAAATTGCAACGAGCAGAAAAACGAGAATAATAGCGTCCAAAGACAGATACACAAGCTTAAAATTTGCCACATAAGTAGATTCTTTTGAAAAAATTATAGAAAATAACCCAAACAACGCGAATATTGAACGAACGATACCAATAATCAATGTCTCTTGCTCTACGTGGCCCGTTTCACAGCAACACATGTATTTTGAGTGGAAATGGGGAAATGTCGAACGTCCACGATCAAGACGAGTAGCATCTTTCATCGCTCACACTTGGGTAATTAAACCTTGGATAAAAGGTTTAATTACCAAAGTTTTTAAGTTCTGTGGCAAAAGTTTCTTCCGATCTATAAAGACTGATAAAGACTGTACTGCTAAAACGTGGAAATACCCCAATACGACTATCCAAGAATTTCAGAGTGAGTTAACTCGACTAGTATTGGACGAAATTCATGAAGGTTTCCAAAATCCTCAAATAGGAATCCATACACAAATACGAAGGCCATCATGAGTGATCGATGCAAAAGAATGAATCGAAAGTGCTAGGATTCTGAGTTTAGAATAACTTGTTATGAGGAGTTAAATAGAAACCTATGGGTAAAAAGTCTCGGTTTCTCTTCTCGAAAAACTTTAGCTTAATCCAATGAGCACTAACGCGACATTTATTTTGAATTCAAAAATGGTTTAAAAAAGAAATGCGTCCGATGTAGGAGGAGTACAAGCGAAATATGGAAACTGGCGCACAGCTCAACCGTGAAGAGATCGTAAAACGAGTAATGAAAGAGCAGCCGTTTTTGACAAAATTCTTCGCGTTGGAGCTGGCTTCCGAGGAACAAATTAAAAAAGTCGAAACCGAGGCAGGTGTTTTCCTCCGTCGTACCTTTCGCCCTTTTTTCTACTTCCTATAGCTTAGATATTTTTTATCATTTTGGTTTCAGTCGGAACAATTTGAGCGGATTATGTGCGATACGAACAATAAGAACATACAAACGGAACTTCAAATAGGTACAATTTTTGGAGCATCGCATGAGGAGAAAGTGAAAGATGTAGGTGTTAGATAAAAATTAGGCTGTACAGCAAAAAATTTGCAATTGTTTCCATTTTCTTACCATTGCAGGATTTTTCATGTTGTAACTACAAATTAAAAACAAAGGGAGGTGGTCAACGATCTAGTCACTTGCACTCTAGTGGGCGGCCGCATTAAAATAATCTTACACAATTGGCCGCTGGTTTTATAGTGTGGTTTACGATTACCAAGCATTTAAGACGTCCGAGGTTAGCAAATTGGCACAGAACTTGTCTAGGACGATAAAATCTGCTACGTTGGGTTAAACCGCCAAAAGTAATAATATCGTGAAATCACACACTAATAGCTATGTGTAGCTGGCAGCTATGGTGTCACACATTATTTTGTGCACAAAACATAGTGGTGCAATTATGAATTGAATATTGTAGAACATGACTGATGAACCGATGTCAAATTCTCCATCTCACATCCATGGAAAGGAAACGTGGTCAAGGTGGGAACTCCTTTCTCTAGGGCTTTTAGTATTTGTAGAAAGGTGTTGGAATACGACATATATTATGATTGCCATCTATGGCTTGAATATGCGTCCCAGTGCAATTGCAACAAACTCCAAACGTGGATACTTAAACCACTAAATAGATATGCGTAGAAAATAGATCAAGAATTAAACCATTGTATAAATAGGTAACTTAAAGACAAAGAACTATCATTAACAACAAGACGGGCTGACTTTTGAAATGAGTTCATTAGGTTTGACAATGAGTTAATAAATCTAAAAAATACAAAAAATACAATTACATCTCAAAAAATGTAAGAAACAATTGTAAGAAACGACAAGCAGGAATAGTTTCAAAACTCAGTATCACACCTAGCATACTAATCTCGGATGAATGAACCTCAATGCAGTTTCAAAATTGTGTGCTGTTAACACAGTACGATGGGCCATCATGAGTGATCGATGCAAAAGAATGATGCAAATTTTGCTGAAAAATCGATTTCATAATGCATGAGAGAAGATGGAAACAATTTACAGTCAACTTATGAATCGCAGAATACTTCATCGTGGCTGGTAGGTGTTCCTGGGTGTCGGACTGCGATGTACAGCAGGGAGATTCGTTTTCCCGGCAGGGTCTCCCAAGCTGAGAAGAAGTCTGGCGTTTCCATCAGGAAACCTAGCTAAGAGTAAACCAATACCAAGATCCACCACCAACTTGGTATCAAAATCGCATGGTGGTAAATCTCCCTCTGATCCACAAGGGTTGCGACTGCCTGTCGTAGTGAAGAACTGGGGCAGACTTTGGCCAGGCTGACCTCGGGATTCCAGGGAACAACAATGGCTTAACCAGCAAATTTCCGAAAAATGGTGATTATGCTGGGGCCCGCACAAATAGTGATGATGGGCCGTTTAAGTGTCAAGTGTCGTGTCCACAGATGATACTGTGTAACCATCTCTCCTATTTTTCATTATTTGGAGGAAATTCATTTCCTGCTTGTTTCAAACGACGCCTTAAAGGAGAGATTTTAAAAAAGATATATTTGAGTGTGGTGTGAGATATTCCAGATGAATACTCTTAAAAGGTAAAAAGAATGCGAGGTTGCAAAAGAAAAGGAAAGAAAATAAATTATGCGAACCCCTTCGCTGAACAACCTGCAGCCAACAACAGTCCAGTTTTGGAAAAAGGCTCCAAGCAGCTGCGCTGTTTTCATTGGTTTGCATGCTTCGTCACAGTTCAATGTGGGCTTCAAGCACATGATGTTCGAGACCACCCGCGAACAATGACTACTTCCGGAAACAGACAAGAGAGAATGAAAGAGTGCCTGCATGAAAACTGGAAGATGTACACGACACGCAAATTTCCGCCTGGCGCAAAAGAGTGAGGGTATGCACTCAGTTACCACAAAGGGATAGATTATTTGAGAAAAAAGCAATGGACTTGATTCAAAGTTTGCCTCCATTACCGCAACGCTGAATCGCACATAGATTCTATGGATTCCCTGCACTCTAAGATTCTTTGTTATTGTAAATGGTCTCATATTCGGGCAACTCAGAACTCTTGTCTTGCCGCTTAATCGCTGCCATTTCTAAGATCTGAGAAATCCACTCTTAGAAAGCCATCCAGTTTCTGTTTATGTGCAGGGTTTAAGTGATCGACAGCATGGTGTTAATACCGTAGATTGAATTGAATCATACTTAAAAATAATTGTGTTGTTTGGCAGGTTTTCGTTATCTACGCCTCGCTGGAATGGTAGTGAACATACACTACGAATCTCCATCATAGGAGAATCTCATGCCGGTTCGTCGCGAGGTAACATGGCTTGTGTCTAGATGGTGGATAGGCTCCTAAATGAGGACCAAAAGCGACCTTACGTTTTTCTGGGACCATGGTGGATCTAGAGTGTGGACCATCTGATTTCACTGCTTTAACTTGCCACATTCTCACACTTAACTTTTGTGTATGCGAAGACATGTCCATGTATACGTGCGTGGGTGTGTTTCCATTTATGCAGATTATTTCCGACGATTCAATTCAGCCGAAAGCATGGGAATTATATACAAGGAGGTTTGGAGTTGCCTCTAGTATATGCGCTCTCCTGTCTACCATGGAAGAGACTGGCAAGCTGTCTGCAAGTATAACCAGCTCCCACGTTGAACGTTTGAACGGTTAAAGCAAGCTATACAGGGGTAGAAAACTCTAAACACGGTAAAATAAATAGGCCTCACTACCCGAAAGAGTCCTCCATAAGAAAGTTTTGGATAGGACGAGTACGGATGAGTTGCTTAAAACTAGAAGGTTTAAGGTGACGATTTATATCTATGACGAATACTCTCTCCTATCTCAGTCCTTAATAGAAGACTTAATCATGCAAGCAAGAAGTCCAAGCACAACGCCACCGAGCTGGCTGAGGCGAAAAGCGGCCACACATTCAACGCCGTCTGTGACACCGGAGAACTGTTCCTCGAAACATGCTTTACTAAAAAAGTCGGCGGCTCCGGCGCTCTAGTCAGCACGAGTTTGGCATGAAACTCGATTTACTCGAGTAACTACCAAACCGAATCGGATGTTTAGGTTTGAATAGATGTGAGTCAACAGCATCTTTTACAGTCTTCATCGTCTACGCATTGAAATGAAGTTATGATGAAGACGAAGTCGGAGCGTTCTAAACGGGCTTGGAAAAGTTCTGTCCATAGCACAATAAATTTTCTGAGGTTATTGGAAAATTTGAAGCAGCGACCAGAAGAACGTCTGGAAGACGTCAAAATGGGGCCCACGGATTAGAATGGAACGAGCAAGGTGGAATGCTTTCTGGATTTATCATGACAGTATTATCACGATCATTCATGGTAGCACGCAATTACAGAAAACCTCTCAACGATAGATGTAGAAGCTTTCTAAATGGAGAACACCATAAAGAAATAGACCGCATCATAATAAATCGAAGGTTTCGCCTAACCGATGTTTCTGTTCTCCTAAAATTCCACACGAGATCAGACCATCGCTTCCTTCGTACACGATTTCAGTTCAAGCGAAAGGGAGAAAAAGCTGCTAAATTCAAAAAACAAAGCCATAAAACTATCATTACCTAGCATTTATTTAGTTAACTTGTCAGTCGTTGCCAAGAAGCCGTTTGTGACAAGATCGACGACCAATTTAGTCGCTCATTCAACACCTTCATGCTAATGCTGCGAAGGCTGAGAGTCCGAAAATCACCTAGCGAACTCTGTCTCCAAAAATACTCGAGCTAATAGACTGACGATGAATCGCATCAGCCACCAGCAACCACCAACTGAGGTCCGATTTTGCAAAACAATGCAGAAAGGCGACTAAACAAGGCCTTAAAGAGAGAATAGCATAAAAAAATTTTGCAACCACAATATTGCCTTTTTACAAGAACAATATCATTGACGTCAAAAGACGGTTTATTTAACGCGATATTTCACCAGAATTACTTACGCCATTCTCCAGGGCGTCATTCGAACATATTGCAATAGGACAATATGAGTGTGAAAATCGATGGCTGGCAATTACACCATGTTCGCTTTGCTGATGTTAACGTTTTTACAACACCAAACATTAGCCAGGCAGAACAAAATGCTTTACAACTCTGGTAAATGCTGTGGAAAGTTATGTCTTCTACTAAAGCATGCAAAAACGACGCTCATGAAGGACGGATTGGTTACGTATGCCTCATTCACGTTCGACTGAATGGATATCCCCGAATGCTCCAGCTACGTCTATCTCTAGGTCGAGAAACCAACATGGCGAACGACTTACCTTCAGAGTTGAGCTGGAGGAAGCGAGTTGCATGGGGAGCTTTGAAGAGCATCGAGCATATAGTGAAAAGATCAACGAATCTTCCTGCCTTAACAAATGCGTCAAAAACCTGATCGCTACGTGGACTAGATGAAAACTCACTCAGCGTTATAAAACGCGCACTGAAAGGACTGTGCTAAGATACGCCTTACCATACAAATGGTAGAGAGAATCCGAAACCCCAGCCTACGTCAACGATCAAGATTAAAGGACGCCGCTTTAAACATAGGTTAAGGTAATTCTTTATATTCTTGTTGAGCAAACGTGAGGTGTTATTTTATTCTTTGTTCAAAAACAAGCTGACGTTTCGGCGGATTTCGCCTTTCTCATAGCCTAGAAAGGCAAGTTGACCGCAATCTACCCAGCCAAACACTTCCATAAATAAACAGAAAAAATGCTAAACCAAGATTTCAATCACATTGAACACAGAATAGCTTTTTTGTACACTCATCGCCTTCTATGAGGCTTCCACTGAGTATGTCGCGTGGAGACCAAACGCATTTTTTCCCTATTTCGCATAGCCATTTTCAATGGCTACGAAGCTGTATCGCCTCGGAACAGGTGTAAGAGAAAGGCCAAGCCCCAAACGATAACTCTAGCAATAGTAAGGTCCCGTTTATCCTGCCCTTCTTTTCAAACGAATTAAGTGCAGCTATAACACGCTGCCACGGATCTCCCCCATACGAGCGATCTCGAGCCGGTTAGTCGCGAGGCTACGTGG